AAGGGAGGGAGGTGGAGGAGAGGAGGGGAGGAGGAGGAGGTGGAGGGGAGGCGTGGCTTGTGAGCAACCAGCAGCCAGTGAGAGGCCGGCGTGGCGCTCTGCAGGGTGAATCTTACCCTGGCAACACAATAGAGCGAGAGAGAGAGAGAGAAAGGGGGAGAGGGGAAGAGAGCGAGCGAGAGAGAGAGAGGGAGACGACGGCGGCGGACAGGTGAACAGATGGCTGACTGACTGAGAGACAAGCTGATCAGTGCACTACAGAGAGAGAGAGAGAGAGAGAGAGGATGCGATTGTACTGTAATGTACCACAAAATGTTCACTGTGAGAGAGAGTGGGAAGACAAACACAGAAACTGTGAGCGAGGGAGAGATGCCCATGTTTGCACTGTAACGTTTTCGCAAAATATCAGTCGAGTTAACATGAGGCGAAGAACGAGAGACTCCAAAGAAGAATGTCAAGTGCGTGCAAGTTGAGGCCACGTGAGAGGGAAGCTGTGCCGTACGTCTGTTTGCATCCATGCAATTCAAACTACTGAAAACAAAAAAAGGGGGGAAAAAAAATATTTGATCTGTAATGATCTGTCCAGATTTTCAATTTACTGCTCGCGCCTCGTGCTCGACTGCTGAGCGTTCGTACAACGCGCTGCCACTCTGATCTATTCCATGACCTGGTTCTTTGACAGAAAATGAAATAAAGCAGCGAGCGAAATGGATAGTTGTGACACCAAACTGTGAAAAGTAATGCGCAGGAGCGTTTAGGATTCAATACCATAGACTGAAGAAGTAGCGGGTCGAGGTGAGGTTGTTTGCCAACTGTGTGAAACAGCAGCTGACTTACAGGAACGACTCGGCACAGATGCTACAAATAAAGAGCTTAAATCACTTCTTTTTAATATGTTGTCCCTCTGGTGTCAGAGGTACTGCCACAGAGGAACCTAATTGCTGAAAATTGCAGTATATTTGCGACGAAGTGCAAAAGTTCATACAGTCAAAAGATCTGCTTAAAAATGGGCAAATATCAATAAAAAAGTGAGAAAATTGCAAAACTGTGAATACGTTTCATAGTAGAATTGCTCCGACTTATAAAATGCATAAAATACGTCTTTTTGTTTTTCCAACTTGGGTTTTGTTTTCATACTTTTCTCAGTCATTTTTCTCAGTAATTGTATTGACCAAGGTCACTGCTGAGCACTTAAAGGAAGGCGTCAAGAAACGTGAGCAGTCAGACACATGTGAAACAAACTCCTTTGTCAGCTGAGCATGTTTGAAAGGAGGATCAATTATCCCTCATTCCATTGTAGAAATCCATCAGTTTGTTGTACGTGTGTTAAGAGTGAACCAACACAGCGCCCTGTTCGTACCACAGACTGGATAAAAGATGGACGTAGCAACCGGCCCTGAAAAATGAAGCCAACCCGGAAGTGTCAAAAACCTGCAATATCACTACGTCCGCTAACTGCTGGCTCCAAAAAGCCCTGGCTCCCATAGACTGGAATTGGAAAAGAAGTGATCACAGATCATGAAATACCACATTCCTACAGCTCAGGATTTTTGTCTTACTAGTTTTCAGAGATCAGGTGGCCAATCTGAAAATAAATCAATACTGAATTTTTAAAAAATCGTCAACATTTTGTGGGGCAAGGGGCGTGGCTGGCTTGATTGACAGTCGGCAGCGACGATGCAGACGACGGTAAATGTGGGCGGGGCAGAGAGGTCCCGCCTCTCAATCCGTCTGACCAATCGCTGCTCCTATGGCTCCGCCCCCCTCCGCCGATTTTTGCGTCACTGGCTCCAAAAATCCAAGATGTCAACCAGGAAGTAGCAAAACCCTGGCTTCATTTTCTCAGTGCAGAAACCAACGGGTGACGTCACGGTAGCTACGTCCACCTTTGGTTCGTACCAAGTTGACCTTCTGTAGTTTTTCCAGAATGAGCATTAGTCTTCGTCAAAACCGGATGACTTCAGCTAGTTCCTTCCACAGTTAAATAAATGACACAACATATCTCACAGGTTCAGCTCTTCAGGACTTCTTAACACTTATTGGATGTGGATGGCTTCCCATTGTGTGTGCATGTCAGGGTTTGTTCTGGCTTTGTATTCTTTCAGTCTCTATCTTAAACAACTGAAATAATGATAAAAAAAAATATGAAGGTAACATTTAAGCATCGTCGTGGTCAGAGTTAGATGTAGGTTATGGTTTGGGTCGGGCATGTACTTGAGATGTTTGGCTGTAGAAATGCCAAAGCCAGAATTAGGTCCTTTGGTGGTATACAAGCTCAAATGTGCGTCATTACATGTGAACAGTGCCCCATTACAGCTCCAGTGTGTCACAGTTTTGTTTGCAGGCTTTTTATTTGTTTGTGTCCAGACAGCGGGAGCAGGAGGTCCGTGCCTCGATCCCATACTCGGTGCAGCCGTCTGTCACATGCTGTTATTGTCACGTTGAACGCGATTGTTTTTATTTCATTTCGGGTTTTTCTTTTTTTTTTTCCTACGGTTCTTTTGTTCTCTCAAATTTTGGGTCAGAGCACACGCATTTCAGCACACCAACTGTGACAACATTGTGTTTTCTATGAACTGTGGACAACAAAGCGTGTGGCGGCGGCGGCTCCAGCGCGTTAAATTTGCATTAAGCTGCAGATCAGAACGCTGACTTGTTCTGCCGAGGCTGAACAGCTGAATCAGGAGACTGTCTCCGTTGTTGGAACAAATCTTTCTAATAACCCGTTTCTGTGGGTAGATAAAATGCAGCTTTGACACTGCGATAATAATAATGGCTTTGAGTTTTAATGAGATTCGTATCAAAGAGCGCTATTGTTATTAACACTGAAAGTCTCTTTACCCTTACATCCAAATGGCATCATTACCCTCTTGCCCTCACCTGTTTTTGAGGATTTAAGGCTAATTCATCCAAAATGAAATGAATCTCTGTCTCTGCCTCCTCGGGGTTTAGTCTGAAGCTCTTGCAGGTATACGAGCTCCCGCCAGCTCCACTTCCGAGGCTGAATTGCATGCAGTTGAATCATTCTCACTTAGGAGTGCACAGTGGGAGTCATTGAGCACGTGCTTATGTTTTAATCAGCCCGCCACTAGACTGCAGTCACACTTGACACAGCAGGTGGTTGTTAATTAAAGAAAATATAAGGTGTTTAAAATATTGCATATGATCTTCAAACAGCGTGTGTGTGGTATAGGTGTTCTATCGGATGATGCTGTTTGAATGCTCCTTCCTTTAAAGTTTCTTCTGTAATTGAGTCTCACAGGGCCTCGGTGGTTTTAGCTTCTCACCTACAAACCATGTGTACTAAATATTATCGCTCGCCACTTTTAAACGCATGCTGTACAGTTTTAGATGTTCCGCTTTGTGTTTTCCCACCATTTCAGACACCCTTTGATTTCCAAATTATATGAAATGAGCAGAGCCTGAGCAGCTGTTCCTGCTTGATTTTTTTCCTGATTCAGATGCAGCGACAGATCTAGGTTTTTTTTTTTTTGTTTCAGTCGTCATCTATCTGTTGATAGGTTGGAATATTCTACCACAGCAGTGTATTTTTTTTTCTTACTCTTTTTAGGAAAACTGGGTCTTTAGGACTCGATTAGAAGAGATGGAAACGACCCGATAGGATGATGGAGATTTGCTTTGCTGTGTAATATAGTTTATTTCCTCTTTTGGGGATAGATTTCGAGGAGAGGGATTTCTTTCTCTTCGCACCACTCGGAGCTAAAGCTCGTATTTGGACCAGAGGAGGTTCTTCAGCTCCAGTTTAAGATCCATTTTGCGGCGAGGATCTATCTGCTTGGCTCTGTGGTCAAGGGCCCACCAGGCAAAGCTACTTAACAGCAAATCTTGTTTAGCAGAATCCTCTCAAAATAAGAGCCTCTCTATCTCTCTCGGTCTCTCTCCTCTTTCTCTTCTCGCCCTTTCAAAAGAATGCGAACACCGACGCAACCCGACTGCCGTTAGCCGCGGTGCTAACACCACGGTGCGCCTCCTAGCTCGTCTCCTTTGCTTTACCACTTTTCTCAGTGCAAACTTTCACACCAGTTACTAACACTGTTGATTAGCCGATGTGTGCAGAGGTGCGACGCCTCCCTCGGTCTTTTGACATGCAACTCAGGTTTATACGTAGTTTGCGGACCTGCACGATTGCCACGGGCTGCTACAACTGATTCGGTGCACTTTGTAAAAATAGGGGGTGTTTTCTTGGGCCTCATCTTTTGATTTCAAAGCTTTCCTCATTTGGAATCAGTAGTTTCTTCACCCTTTTAAACCATGACTCCTGCGAGAGCACCTGCCGGGTGAGCGGGTTCAGATTCGGTGGTAATAACTTGCTTTCACGTGGGCAGCGGATGTTACGAACGTTGACCCCAGAATTCGATCGAGGATTATCAAAGGTTGAGAATGGGTTTTTCTGTAAGTCCGTTTTTCTACTTGTACGAGATGCTGCTGGAGAGAAAACACATTTCATGTCATCGTCAGGGTCAAACTGTTTCATCTGACCTTAACGGCTTCATTCTTATACAATGAGCAGCGTAGGAGTCTCGCATACGGTGCAATCAAGATGCTCATTTGTGTTCGACAAATGAAAATGGCTTCACTGAGTGTGTTTTTTTTAAAAAAATCAGTGGTAATTCCAAAATGTGCATGACAAATGAAATGTAAATGTGCCTCCTCCTTCTCCTCCTCTATCCCTCTCTGACCGCTTCAGACGTTGCGAAAGAAAGGCTTTAATGGCTGCAACAGCCCTGAGCCCGACGGCGACGACTCCATCGACCAAAGCCCGCTAAATGACCGCAAGACCGAGGACCTGGACAGCCTCTTCAAGCGCTACGGCGTGAGTACCATCACACTTTTGTCACCTTATCTAACCTACCCTTTCTTTTCTTCTTCTTTCTCTATCTACCTTCCTCTCTTTCTCCCTCTGTCTCTCTCTCTCTATCTATCTCTCTCCATCTATCTCCTCTGTCTGCCTTCTTTTTTCTTTTGTTTGGGGAACGAAGGCTCTGAACAAGAAAGAGCACCGGGACTCTGAGAGCCCAGACCCCGAGGAGCCCTTCTCCCTCACCCCCCGCACTGAAGAGAAATACAAAAAAATTGACGAGGAGTTTGATAAAATGATGCAGAACTATAGGCTGTCAGTGAGTACCTCCCACCACTCTGTGTAACCCTGCCCCCTACCCCCCCTTCCTCCTCCTCATGTTGGTACCTTGCTGCTGCTGCTGACCGGACAACCGGAGGTTTCCGGCTGCTGATGGCGGCCTGACTACTCACAGAGCACTCGCCTTCACCATTCCCTGCCCTTTTACCTTCTTCACCTCTTACAAACAGCACCTATCACCACCCACAACCCCCCCACCTCATTGATGGTGTGTATCTGAGCAAGAAAGGTAGAGCAGCCAAGTTGACCGACTGCATTGAGATTATTTAGAATCGAATTTGTCGCGTATCCAAAAGATCCTGCGTGAATAACGTAATCCCTCTTAAACATCCAAACTCCTCCTAAACTGCTAACAAGATGAGTAAGATGGAAATTATTCGCAGCGCCGCCGATGTGTAACTTTCGGCGTAAGACGGAAAGAGCTCTTTAAAAAGAAGCACAACACCAAATAGGGCATGCTTTGCTGTGATTATTCATCTGAAGTTGCAGTCATCACAGTGAAGAGCGTCCTCAGGAGTATTATGGTTTTAATACACTGTTTCCCATCCTTCTGCAAGTTCACTAATGTACAAGAATAAACAACAAGCGGGAGAGGAGCGCTAACTAGGTCCCCCGGTTTTCACAAAAGTTGGCATAGCAACCGATATTGCGAAGGGGAAATCATGTTTTATGGTAATAATCAACACGTTAGGAGCATGCCTTTGAGCGGTCGGATTGCTCGGGTGAAAGTACCGATTGTGTAATACCGAGCAACATTAAAGAAAGAAGCGCGCAACTGCAGACGCGGTGTACGCGGCGGGGCTGAGCGTCGGTGACATCATTGGGATAACACAGAGAAAGCCGGGGTGCAGCTGCTAACCGCCTGTTATTAACAGTGTTACCGAGGTCAGCTCAGTCCCGGTGTAGTCCCGCTCCGTCGGCTGGATGTGCTCCTGACATTATCCAGGTTTCTGCCTCCTGACTGGCGCTCGGCCAAGCCCCTTTTACCGCTCCGCTCCTTTGCCAATTTCTCTGTGATTCATTTTTTCCTCTGTGCTCAATAATGCCATTAATGTCACTTTAATGAGTAGCACTTAATTTACGGCCCCTCTTCCTGTCTGCCTGCCCCTCTTATTGGTCACTGGGGATGGGACACAGTCACATTGAGGTGCTGCAGGAGAGTCAGGCAGCAGTTATGCCTAAAATCACATTTGTGGCGTTTATACCTGAACGGAAAAGTCTGATTTTCTTACTTTTAGTCATCTGCCACCTACTTATGTTGTGCTTGTTGTAATCGGGATGGTGGTAAAGAAACCAAACCTGTTCTACCTGTGGGATAAGCACCATTAATTTTTTTAAAGGTATATGATTATTTATGCAGTGATAAGTTAGCTTCTAGTCATTGTGGTCAGTTTTTAAAAGAATAAACAGCCTGTTGTGAAGATGTTCAAGCTACGATGATCTTTCTCTCTGTTGAGTTTTGCCTTAAAGGGATAAAACATAATATCATCTGTCACTCCATGATGCTGTGTATCAGTCAGAATAATGGACAGAACTGCAAAGATAAGACCCAGGTGGTAAAACAAAACTTTCAAGTACAGCTACTACAAAACTGTAACATGTGAGCGTCACACACACATCAGAGCGGCGCTAACGGAGCAAACGAACCGCCTCTCGCTTTAATCAGTTCAATGAATTTCTCTCCTCCTGAGTTTGACCCAGCCTCCGTCAGCCTCTCTGTGCTGTGTGAGCTGAAATGGCTCTTAAAAGCTTTTCTCAGATGAGAAAGCCACAGCAGAAGAAGAATAGAATTCAATCTACCACCCCTGGAGAGCCGCAGCGCTTGGCGCATGTCAATTGGATGCTAGCCGAACGCCGCTAGCGTGCAGTGGCCCCACAACCACGCTGCCCCCCACCCCGGGCGCCTCAGCCGGCTCGTCTACCTGCCCGGTTTGCCCAGCACACCTTTTTTTTTTTTTTTTACTGGCAACAAGCAAACGGAAGCACACAGCACCTCCCACCTCTCCTCCCCTCACCATCATAATCCCCAGCATGACAGCTAGGGGCCGGGATATACAAGCTTAATCCCACTTGTACTAAAATACCTCCTGAGGTAGGGAGAGAGTGGTGAGGGAGAACGGGCAGGACACTTGGCTAGACGAGCCCCGAGCTAACGTATCTGTTCCTGTTACACTGGCACTGTGGTAGGCGAGAAAAAAAGGGAGCTGCTTTTTTTTTTTTTCTCCTTCTTCCTTTTACCGGAGGGTCCCTGGTTTGATCCTGTTCTGGCTCTGAGATTCTGGGTCGGGAAATTGAATAAGAAATAGATTTCTTCCTTTTAACAACCACCTCCACGGTGCCCTTGAGCAAGGAGCTGAATGTTTTGTCTGCCGAACAGGCTCGGTATGAATGTCAGAAGTAAGACGTGGTGTTAAACTGCTGCACAGTTAATCACATCCAATCTAATGTTCAGATGTTTGGCTTTTAATAATCACCAACATTTGCCATTAAATAGCATTTCGTAAAGTAATAACTTTAACCCGACAGTCGATTTAAATTTGAGCTCAGTTTTGATAATAATTACGATGGAAACTCTTTAAAAGTAAATCAAGTTTGACATCTTTATGATTTAAAAAAAAAAAGCATTTCAGATGATTAATAATAAATATCACTGCGAGGAGGTTGAATCATTTTCAAAGAGACAAACCAGCAGCGATAATTAAGTTGACATCACTGCCTGGTTGCACGACGCCGTCAACCTGCATTCATACATATGGATAAATACGCTCGCCACAGCTGAATAATATAGAGTCACACTGAGCGCCATTAATAGACTGTTAGCGTTTTATGTCTCCTGCGAGGAGAATTAAGCAGCTATTTAGGATTGTGTTTTCATAAACAAACATTAATGTCCTTAAGTATGATATATATCATTTGTTTATTTTCCTCGGCGTTGCGTTTGCGTGCTCGGGGACCTTAATTACTTTCACACCAGGAATCAAAACGTGATCGTTTCTGTTTGCAGATGAAACCATTTTTATTTGTGTTTTAGACCCTTTGGTCACTCACTCGTTTCTTTTTTTTCCACTTTTATTCCAATATTGGTAAAATTAGAAACAAGCCAGAGAAGGTGAGAGACACAACAGAACAACTAACACCCAAGTTACTGGTCACCTGCTGTGAACTCTGCAGGTTTAGCAGTTTTTCCCTCAGATCCACAGTTACAAACAAATAAAATCCTCAAGTTGAAAAAGGAAAATAGAAAGAAAAAAAAAAGTAGTTTCAAAGGCTTTCAGGACAAGAGGGAGGGAAACGAAAACTAGGCCATGAGTTTAATTCATTCTGATTTACCCTTGCATCCAGGAAACACACCCTTGTTGTGTGAGCTCCTCTGAGGGAAAATAGGTTAGCTTTCTCTCCCCTCTTTTTGTTCTCCTCACGCAGAAGAAGCCTTGAGCTTCCTCACATGAGCCCCCCGGAAAAGCTCCTAGTCAATTATTTACCTAACAGGTTCTTTTTTTTTTTCTTTCTTTCTCCCTTCATGGCTCCTTATCCTTTGTGCTAAATCCGCAGGATGACGGGCCAGTTAACCCTTGTCTCCGCAATGCATTGGTGTTAAACGGAGTCGGAGTGGGCAGATGTAAATTCACTTCACAATTTGGCAAACGCGCGGATTAATTCTCAGCCTAACACGGAGCGAGCGGAACGGAGCGAGGACAAATTTGAAATTCATATTTGGAGAACACGTGAAGAGGTTTCCGAGTTATGTCACAAATATCCTAGCAACCAAAGTCGGCACGGTTCTGGAGGTTCGGCGGCGGCAACAAATTATGGCTAAATTCATTAGCAGAGGGCCGGTAACGAGACGGCGACCTGAAGAGGGGAGGCGCCGGAGATGTGGTGAAAGTCTCTAGTAGGCAACACTTAGCCTGAGGAAAGTTTTAAATCAGTAGCTGTTGATGTTTTAAGAGCCGCTAGTCAAACTTATTTCTGTAGAAATAGAGTTTTTCTGAATTAATTTGACTGCTTTAGTTTTATCTTAACTGCTGCTAACACTGAATTCCTTCTATATTCATTTTATCTACTCAAAAAAAAAAGGGGAAATTGTTCCTAAAACATCAAGTTTGATTATAAAACTCTACAAATTATAACCTCCCAGTTTCACCATTGAGGCCTTCTGCCCTGGATGCTAATTTATTTCTTTATTCATTCATAATTTCCAGTTCATTATACATCATCAGGTGTTAAATACATCATCCAGTGATCACCTGCCAGTCAAAATTCAAAGACTTTTTAGTTGGTTTTTTACATGATTAGTGAGATGGAAGTTTGTCTTAAGGTCAGAGGTCAACTAGAAGAAGTTTTATTCCTTATTTATCTGCTAAAGTGACCCTAAACCTGCCCTCTGTTTGTAGTTTCCTCCCAGTAAGAGGTAAACTTACAGCTATGTCAGGCTGCAAGAAAAAGCCCTGTGAGGATAAATCCTTTCTAGTGCTGTATGCTCTGAGTTTACACACCTCCGCCCCCTTTGCATTAACCCCACCTCCCCCCCCAACCACCACTCCCCATCCACCCCTCCATTTATCCATCCCTTCTCTTTACCTTCTGCTTGGCCAGTGTGCAGTGGTGCAGTGCTGTTAGCTGCTATCTTCACTCTCCCTGGTCACCACTTACAGCTCCCGTCCGTACACTCTTTCCCCCTCCTCGCCAACCTTCCTCTTTGCACTCCGATGGGTTGAATTTTAAATCTCAGACACTTGGAAGGTTTCTTTAACTAGTGGTTTGCAAGGACACGGCTTTATTTTGCAGCGCCAAACTTTCTGAACAACCTAGAAGTGTTATTGTGGAAAGAACTGTGATTTAGTGCTCGTTTTTGTGGGGAATATAAAAAAAAAAGAAAAGAAAAAGAAGCAGCCTTCACTTGATTCACTCTTTGTGTGTGAAAGATTGAAAAAGTATAGAAGAATAGATGTATGTTTTGGTTTATTTAGGGGGTTGAAATCACAAAAAAGGGTCTTTCGTCAAAACTTTAGCAATTATTGGTAAATTAACTGGACATTCAAAATAAAGTTTTGCCAAATAACAACATCATCGGCTGTAGTTTTAGATCTGAATCCTCTTTATTTCCTGTTCTCCTTCCCTTTCCTGGCTATCTCCAAAATAAAAGAGCAATTACAAAACATTGCAGAAGAAAAAAAAAGAGGTAGAGATCAAGGGCAGGAAGGTGCCCTCGTCCTCCTCGCCGTTAAACTGGGTCCCAGGCAGTTTGAGTACAGTACAGAGCAGCGCTGGCCCATATTCTATATATAGCAGTCCTTATTTCAGATTGAGTTGGAACAGGGTGAAATGGGTCGGATGGCTGGACAACTTGAGGTCCTTGCCCTTGATTTTTTTTTTTTTCAACACCCTGGGCCGTCTGGTCATCTGCCGTCATCGTCTCGGGTGACAAAGGTAGATAATTACAAACTGAAAAGGCGTTAAAAGTTGAAAAATTTAGCAACAGAAGATAACGTTGCGGTCGGTTTTGTTAAGCTTCCAACAGAGCGTTTCCTACCGGTGACGAGCACACGTCGGTGGAGGTGGGGGGATTTCGCTAGATTGCGACACGCACGCTATGAGATGTCACCAATAACCAAACGCAATAACCCGCTGCTGCGACACCAGTTTTAACCTGGCATGAGACGTAAAAGGCGACACAGCTTTTTTGGCCTTTTCCACCAAGTCACCTTGCATGATCAAACCGAGCGAGTGTGTGTGTGTGTGTGTGTGTGTGTGTGTGTGTGTGTGTGTGTGTGTGTGTGAGAGAGATTTGATTTATGTGTGGCCGTTTGAAGAGTTAATTTCCAAAGCACAAAACCAATAATTTTTACCTTAAAGGACCGTTTCCGGTGTTTTTGCATATTATTATTTGTTGAATACAAATTGCAAACGCCTGACGTGTCTGATGATACTGTTGGATTGATTTCATGCTACAAGGGAGAACCTTGACATGAAAACAAATGATGACAAATTGTTCACTGTGATGGATTACTGATCTCATTCAGGTTTTCGAATCATTCAGGTCCATTTTTTTTTACATCTTAATGGCATGAATTGAAACCCATGACTAACAGGAAGGTTGGGGGGGGATCAATCTGAAAGCATTTCCTTTGTTAAAACAGACACTAATAATGCAAATCGTTCGGTTGACGGGATGCAATATGCAAAACCTATTACGTACATGCAAGACCATGGAATCCTTTGAGTCCAGCATTCAGTCTGCAGAATTTACTTTTTAATATTGTTGAGATCATTTTAGCAGCAAAGATCCTTAAAATGTAGTTGGTACGCTACAAAAAAAATGTTTCTATCAAGTTGTTTGTCCTCCTAAAACAAACAAAAACTTCTCTCAGTGCAGAAAAGAACAATTTCCAATGTACAACAGCCCGTTCCAAGTATTTGCTCTGCATGTATGCGTATTTGCTCATGTCTTGACCTCGAGAAGGAAACTCTCAGTTCTTGAAAGTTTGTTTTTTTCAGGAGACCAACATATTAAAATCATTTTGAGCTCACTTTGCAAAATTGGCTCCGTCTCGTCAATTATAATATCAATCAGGTATAATTTTAAACTCTTACTGAGCCTCTAAAGTCTTTAAAAAAAACAAACACTGCAGTTAGAATCATATCTATAGTGCAAAAAAAAAAGAAAAAATCGACTTCTAAAATAGCTTAGAGAGACTTAAAAATGATGATTTAAGGTCATGCTGCTGCGCTAAAGATTATTTAACACAACGCGTTAAACAGTTATTTATGTAAACAGCCTGGTATTTTTTTAAAAAGTATGTTTTCTGGGACTTCATGAGACAAACGATGATTTTATCCGTGATAATCGTGTTTTTCTGGTACAAAGGTACCATCGCAGAAAAGTAAAGTTTCATCTCGCTTTGGAAAGACTCTTCTTGTTGTGATTGGTTGTGTTTGTGTGACTGTGTGTGTGTGTCACCTGCAGGCTTGTTTGCACTGCTGCTGATCACTAACTGATCACCCGTCCATTACTGTATACATGCATATATTGTCTGTGTGAGGTGTGGGGGTGGGGGGGTAAACGTCGGCTCACTCTAACCGCCTCCCTCCTGTCTCTCCATCAGTCTACAGTCCCACAGCCGACCTTCTCCATGCCAGTCACCGTGCCAGTATCCAATCAGAACGCGGCGGCGGCGGCGGCAGCCCTCCAGTTCAGCAACAATCCTGCCGGCGCCCTGGTCACCACCACCTCCTTCGTCACCTCCACCCTCACAGATCCCCGCCTCCTGTCGCCACAGCAACCGGCTCTGCAGAGGAACACCGTGTCACCAGGGTTACCACAGCGACCAGCCAGCGCAGGTAAGAGAACGGGGCGAAACAGCTGGAGTGCTTTGGTTTCTGCACTGCTTCACAGCACATTCGTAGTTGTGTAAATCGATGATCTGTGACATTCTTATATAAATAAACGCCCAGTTTCTATACAAGTCGCCGATCGATCCGACCTCCGCGGTGTAGCTTTTCCGATTTCGGTTTTTCTCCTTGAAGCTTAGCAACTGATGAGTTTTGTATTTCTGAAAACAGCGGCGGCAGTTTGAGGAAGAAGAAAGAAGCAGCGCTGACAAAATCTCAAAACTTCTTGAAAAGAAAAATGACTTTAGACTGCCACCCACACTGCTTGATTGACAAGTGTTGGAGACAATTTTCAAAAAAAAAAAATGAAGATAGTCAGATTTCTATTGAAATGAATGATTTAAAGATAGGGTCCCATTTTTCTTTTTCAATCCTGAATTTTAACAGATTGTAACTTTTAGAATACATCACCGTGTTTGTCAGTAGGTTTAGTTACTTTATGTGGAAAATCAATACAGTCCCTGTGTTTAATATCTCACATGTCCCGTAGATCGCTGCTCTGTCACACTTTCATCAAATAATTCCTCCAACATTTCAACATTTAGGACTCAACAGAACGACACGATCACTGCAAACTCTGCTGTTTATGTGGGTCACACAGCGTTGATTGCTAATTAGCAGCATCTGTCAACACTCGGCGTTATGTATATGTGGCTCAAATCGCTGTTTGAACTGCTGTTCCTCTGTCGGTACAGCCGCTGTGTGTTCAGCCTACTTTTCCGTACAGTTTGTTGTCGTAATGCTCCGAATGCTCCCTCTGACATTGAATTACTGGGTTCGCTGTGCCCAATCAGACCAACGACATCTTCCATACATGATTTCTGAATGTCTGAAATGATTCCAGCCACCTTTTCTCGACGCGGTTGTCAAGGTGATACAGCCAGTTAAAGACCTTTTTTCATAAAGTGCATCCTCTGTGTACAGAAGTGCAGTTTATGTAACAGCGGGGATAATAAGAATTTTTCTGAGTCGCCAAGCAGCAAAATGACCAAAGGAGTGAGTCTCTGTATTGATGTTTCTGCTCAGTCAGTCCGGGCAACTCCTGCTTTGCTCAAATAAGTGCACACTGCCGATAATGACAGACATCCATCACTTCTTTGACTGAGGCTGGTACACTCCTGCGCTCGCTCGCTGCCTCTGTGTGGCAAACCGATCCTTCACCGTCTGACTAAAAGGATTTGTGCCCCATTTTTGCGTCTCAGACAAGGTTACTTATCAAGCTTTGTTCCGACCAGCGTAATCTCATTGTAAGTCAGAATTAGGTGATGTAACGCGCAACAAATGCATTACAGCATCTTTCATAACATGCCGTTCTCTGAGGCAAGTGGGTTTCACGTAGCAGTAATGGACGCCCCTGCCCTCCCCTCCTCTCCCACCCCACCACCCTCCTCATAACCTCAGCGGTGCAAATACTCTGCCGCGCGCCCGCCGCTATGCATCCCACATTACCAGGCGAGTATTGGGTTCGTCGTCTTTGCTTATTGGTGTTTTTCCACGCGTCTTGTCCTGCTAGATATTTTTTGCCGGTCACCCCTAATGACCCAAAGTTTCTGCCTTTTTCTGAAGAGCGTCTGAGCCAGAAAAAAAAAAATAAAAATTGAATCTGCACCAAAAAAAGAGGGAAAATAAATGTCAGTGCAGAAAAATGCTGACTCCTATATGAGGGAAAAGTGAGCATAATGTCCACTGGAATGAATGTACAAGTGTATAGCTATTGTACTGTGTGAAAATGTGCACGTTGGTCTGCACTGACATTTTAAAGCAGTGGTTGTTTATTTTTATGTGTGCAGCAGAACGCGCTGAAATCCCAACGCTGACATCATCTTATGAAGTTCATATGACAAATGTGTTGTTAAACAGATGCCTGTTTAACCCATTAATGCAGCTTATACGTGAAACATGCGTTAAACATCCAGCAGAACGTCTTCAGCAATGTTCTCTCTGAAGCTGCTGATAATTCTCTGTTGGTTTGTCATAACAGTCAACATTTTTTAATTCATATAATCAATTCTCAGAATACAGTCGTGACTCGATAATCCAACCCTTAACGACCCAAAACCTTGCTATCTGACAGGTTTTTAGGAAAAACAAACCCATAGAAAATATCTTTAACATACCGACAGCCTTGGATTCTGACTCCGACATGACATTTAATGTCACCAATCAGGATAACAGCGTATTATCTGACTGAACAATCCCACAGATTGGCTACGTTCACACTGCAGGATTAATGCTCGATTTGGAATTTTTTGTGAAATCCGATTTTTCTGCGAGTTCGTTCACATTCCCAGTTAAACACGACTTGTATGTGATCTGCTGTGTGAACTTCATACGACCCAAAAGTTTCCCGCATGCGCAGAAGAGGACACGATGACGTCACACGCAGCGAGCGTGCTCAGTGTTTACGGAAGAAAACACAGATGGTAACGGTGGAGCATATCCACCACTCCTCTGTTGCCGCCGATGATGGAAACAGAACTGTGACCGTTAGCTAAACTAGCATCAGTAGCCAAGTACTGCCTGTGTGTTCTGGACACTTCCACCCCGTCGGAGTGCTCCCCGGGGTGGAAGTGGCTGGACCGTGCACAAGCGCACCGGTCAATTAGGCGTGAAATCCAGCGATGCGTTCTAACAATACACTAGTTATTATAACAACTATGAACAATAGATATTAACAACTAATGAGCCTTCCAGCATCAAGCCCTCCTTGTATCTGGACCTCCGTCTTGACAATCCGACAGTCTTGCTATCAGACATAAAAGAAGGTTTTACATTTAGTGTCGGATTATCGAGTCACGACTGTACTCAGTTCTATGTGTATTTAAAAGCCGTCCTTTATAAATAACTATTCAAATGTGTGTATTGTTGCTGAACAGTGTCAAGTACAACTGATGGTCAGAAGCATATTTACTTTTATTTTTGATATAACATTTTAGCATCTGAATTTGTAAAGAAACCCTTCTTGAAGTTTTGGTAGGATAAGTTTATATATTTTGTTGAACGAGGAGAATAAAAAAGTAATAAACGTTCCCAGAATGAAGCTTCGTGTTAGTCCAGGTAAACCACTGAACTCAGCTGGTCTCATCTCCGCTGCCTGATTAATGCAGAACCGACTACCGCCCGACTAGTGACATCCAATCTCATTTGTGTAATCATACCAGGCAGCCTTTATGAGTTTTCATTATTATTCTGATGACTCCCAATGCCGCTGCCACTTGTTGCCCCCCACCTCTCTTTACCACCTCAACCTCCTCCTGATGCGACCGAAGCTTCAATCGGTCCGACTTTATTTCAGTTTTCACGCGGCTCAGTGCAATTAAAGGTGCTTCACAGATAGCCAATCAAAAGATAATAAGTAGAGTAAAATAAAGCTTGATCACAAAGAAGACAAAGAAGTAAAAAATATAGAAAAGGACAAAGCATAAAAAAACAGTAAAATAATAATAAAAAACGGATTAAAAAGTGAAATGATGAAATAGATTAAAAACACATAGAAATAGAAAAAGTTGTAGAAACATAAAAAAATTAAATCGTGTCTTTCTTTGATAGTGTACCAGCTCGTATCAGGGGGTATTAGTTTCTCCCAGCAGAATCCTCGTTGCTGCTCAGATTCTTTGAAGAGCTGAGCTTTTTCCACCAAATTCAGCTGTTAAACAAGACCAATAAAGCCACACCACAGTGATCTCTGAGTGAAAGAGAAAAGTTTTGAGAAAATGTTGATTTGCTGTTACAGTCGTGACTCGATCATCTGACACTAAATGTAAAACCTTCTTTTATGTCGGATTGTCAAGACGGAGGTCGAGATACAAGGAGGGCTTGATGCTGGAAGGCTCATTTGTTGTTAATATTTATTGTTCATAGTTGTTATAATAACTAGTAGGGCTGGTACCAATAGAACTTTCTGGTCTCTGGATATTCAGGCCCAATTAATGATGGATGTCAGAATATTCAACACGGTCAGGGGACACTTCCACCCCGGGGCAGCGCTCTGACGGGGTGGAAGGGGCCAGAACACACAGGCAGTACTTGGCTGATGATGCTAGTTTAGTTAGCGCTCACAGATCTGTTTCCATTATCGGTGGCGGCGGCAGCGGCGCAACCATCCATGTTTTCTTCAGTAAACACTGAGTCGTCGTGTCCTCTTCTGCGCATGCGGGACACTTCTGGGCCGTATGAAGTTCACACAGCAGATCACATACAAGTCGCATTTAACTGGAAATGTGAACGAACTCACAAAGAAATCAGATTTCACAACAACAATCCGGTTTGAGCATTAAGTCCTGCAGTCTGAACGTAGCCAATCTGTGGGATTGTTCAGTCAGATAATACGCCGTTATCCTGATTTGTGACATAAAACATCATGTCAGAGTCGGAGTCCAAGGCTGTCGGTATGTTATTTTTAATTGGTTCTGTTCATTTTTCCTAAAAACCTGTCGGATAGCAAGGTTTAGGATTGTTAAGGGTCAGTTTATCAAGTCACGACTGTAGTTAGCACTGATGTCTACAAACAACACCAAACCCGAGTTCAACACACAAAAACAACGTGATAGAAAAGATGTGTATCATTGCTGCACCTTGATGACTGCACGTATTACAGGCAGACTGTTAGTTTGACATTTAAACACTCGAGCATCGACTGTTTTACTTCTAATCAAGATGATTCATTTCAAACAATCGTATATTTTTAAACAGATGAACATCAGGTGGTAACTTTTTTTTTTTTTTTTTAAATTTAAAAGTAGACAATTTTTTCCCATTAATATTTAACAGAAGTGCCATTGAGATCTGATTAAACGAGCACTTAAATAACAAGTGAAAACGCAGAATTGAAACCAATTACGGTCCTTCACAGAGTAAAATGAGTGTCGACAATAATGACGCTTTTTTTTTTTTTTTTTTTAAACGATGTACTTGATGTAATGATATTTCTCAGAGTGGGAGATGCATCATTTTAGACTAGTGCTGTTCAGATTAACGGCTTGATATAAGATCGTTTTAGTGATGTCATGTTTTTCTAATCATGCTGTGTTGTCCGGTTCTAGGTGCTCTGCTAGGAGGAGATTTGGGGAACTCCAATGGAGCGTGCCCGAGTCCAGTCCGTAAGTTAAGCTTTTGTTTTTCATGCTTCTAATGTTTGCGATTAGTTTGTGTGGATACAGACACACACACATAAACACGACGTCGTCCAGCCCTGCTCCTCTCTGCTTTCTCTATCTCAGCCTCTAAAAGAGAAATGATTTTTGAGTCTGACTCACGGACGGAGCGATGCAGAACATCTTATGTGTGGCAACAGGCTCGGCCACGTGTGCAACAACTCGCACAACCGACTCCAACCCGGTCGCACCAACACACACAAGCACGACAAACACCTGTTGACTGCCGACAGCTGAGGGTCACAGTACAAGCTGCTTGTAAACAGTCCAAAGAACAGAAAGGGTTTCAGGTTGTGAGAGGGAAACACAAGGAGGGCGTTTTTTTAAAAAAAAGGAGGAAAAGAAACTGACTAAGATTACGAAGCGACTTGCGTAAAGCTCCTCAGCTTGTTTTGTTTTCACAGTTTTGGAAACCAGAAGTAAACTGAATGTGTTTTGACAGTATTCCTAACCTGATCTGGAGTCTGTTACGTGACATATGCCTCTGAAAGCGAGCTCAACATTTCACTCCTGGCACCGGTTTTGTCAACTGCTGAAATTCAATTCGTTGCTGATTAATGACACGAATCGTAATGTCCGGTTGACATTACTCTTGATCGCCACAATAACTAAAATTGTAGTGCAGCTCCAACTTGAATACTAACATCTCTGTTGTTGTTGATTCTAAACAAATGCAAGTTAGAAATGTGGTTTTGCTCAACGATTGACTTTCTGAAGGCCTCGAATGCAGCTTGTCACTGTGGACAGTTTCCATTTGGTAGAAAAACACTGTAACACGGTTGAACTGTCCCTTTGAGACAAACAATAGGAAGATTGACTGGAGGAAAAATTGGGACGGCCTTCTAATCAGACTAAATTGCCATTTCATCTCCATTTACCCGCTCTGACATCGTCTTAGTGCTGAAAACTGTTTTCGTTTTGCCCGAAACAATCAGTGGTGAATCACACTGGTGTTATTTTCAGCCTTCCTGACTACTGTGGTGCACCGAGCAACCAGTCTGGTGATCCTTCCCTCTAAATATAGCAGAAGGACCACTGAAAATAGACGAAACCGACATTTAGAAATAAACTGGAAATGAGAAGTGAAACCAATTATGGTCACCCGTGAAGTTCCAAGATTTTTGTTTTTGTTTTTTTTTAACATTAAGATGCTTTTTTTTAAGGGTGTGTGATGTTTTTCAAACAAAAAGTAGGTGTTGTTGTTATTAGTTCACATATGCTAACCAGCCAGCAGTCTGTGAAGGAAGACAGATATAAAGATTAAAAGAATGCAACAATAAACAACAATATAAAATAGAGTAGAAATACTTTATTTATCCCAGACCTGGGAAATTATTTTCATACAGCAGCAAAACAGAAAAACACCACATAGGGTGCATCTAAACAAGTTTCTGGAATCTGTAAAGGGGCATCAGAGATGGTAAAAGTGCTCACATTCTTTACTTAAGTAGAGATACTCGGGTAAAAATAGAGTCTGGTAAAAGTAGAAGTACTGATACGACTTCTTTACTCAAGTAAAAGTAAAAAAGTACAGGTTCAGACAGTTACTTAAGTGCAAAAGTCGAAATGAGTTTTTAGCTTCGATGATACGCGATGCCTCTTTTGATAACTCTGCAAAAGAAAAAAAAAGTTTTAAGCACAAAATAGGATTGTTTTCATCCTTTACTGCACAGTGCTGCTACAGAGAGTAGAGTTTTCCATTTCAGCAACATGATAAACATTAAACATTATAATCAACATGGAAACACTCGTCTCTTCACGACTACCAACATCTTTTATTGAGCCTCAGCAGAAGCTGGTTCTCAAAGTTCTCTGAATGAAGACGTTTCAGCCCTTTTGGGTCTGAAAATCAGTCCTAAAAAGCCTCTGGCAGGCAGCTGAGGCAGGCCGGGCTGTGTTCAGCTTCAGGGACAAACTGCACACTGCTGGGAAAGATAAAGACGTTTGTTGTTACGTCTTTTACGTCGTGTCGTCATCCGTGGAAACAAGTAGCGAGCCAGTTTTGAGAATGTAAGGAGTAGAAAGTCCAGATATGTGTGTTCAAATGTAGAGAGTGAAAGTAAAAGGTCGTCAGAAAAATTAATAGTAAAGTACAGACACCTGCAAAATCTACTTAAGTACAGTAACGAGGTATTTGTTACTTTCCACCTCTGAGGGGGATACAATAGTGCATTAAACTTTGAATTTAGTGGGTTGCTGCCTTGCAAAGCTATGATTAGTCGACTGTTTTTCCAGCCAGGACCAGACCTATTTTATTTACTGAACAATTTACACGTACAAGCTTTAAAAAAAAAAAAAAAAAAAATTTACTGAACAATTTACACGTACAAGCTTTAAAAAAAAAAAAAAAAAACATCTTGAAGTGGAAACCAGCTGATTATAAAAGTATGATTCGTGTTGCCTCCGAACTGCTCGTCACACCTCGAAAATCACCAGTCGGACTCAGTAGCTGCTGTAACAATGGATTTAAAACTCTGCCGTTGCTTTCTGTTGAACTCTCGTCACTGCAGCGAGCTTCCCGTCTTCACCCACTCCTCCCCCTCTCATCCCTCCATCCACACCTCCTCCCCCTCCCCCCTCCGTTCCATCCTGTCTCTCTCAGCTGTTCCCCCTCGTCTTCCTCTCTGGAATAATCTACAGCCCCACCCGACTCACCACCTCCCCGCCCCCCTCCTACCCAACTGTCCCTTGTCTTGGCACAGGACTCTCCTCAGAGGTGACTTTGACACTGGCCAGAGCTCTCTCCTTAAATCCCATTAGCCGGGACAGATACTGCCAGCCAGCCCGTAGTAACAGATACGGTGGGAAGGTGTAGGGCTTTTTTTTTTTTTTTCTCCTTTCTATATTCAGTTGATAAACGTATTGTCTTAGGGTAAGGTGGGCCAAAATAAATCAATACATTTATATTAACTTCCCTGCACTGTATGAGAGGCATAAACCGAAGCCAAGTTTCGATATTGATTGGTTTTTCGAGGCTATTAATGAAAGAGCGCGCACGCTTTCTGTCAAGTGGCGCTCTTAAAAGTTAGCCTCGATCAATAAACAAGTGTTGTCTGAAGTCGCGTTGACTAGTAATCGAGGGGCCGCAGTGTGTGTGTGTGAATTCAGTTTTAAGTATTAAACTCTCAGAGGGTGGACGGTTGTAGGTGGACGTCGGCGGTCGAATGTGACTGCCGGGACGACTCCGCCTCGCGTCACCATTTCTTCATGCTTGGAAACATGAAACCTCATCATCCCAGAACCCGGCTCAGGTGACCCGATCCACCCGGATGACTGCTCCTCTCCTTCCTCCGTCATCTCTTTAATCACGCTTCCTTTTTCCATTTTTTTTTAATCCATTGTTTGCGTCTCTCCTTACCTTCCTCACAGTTTTCTCCCCCTGCTTTCTTCTCTTATTTCTTCCTCTCTCTCTCCCTTCTTTTGTCTTTTTCCCTCCTCCTCTCCCTGCTCCTTCTTTCTCACCCTTTTCCTCCCATCTTCTCCCTTTTGCTCCCCTTCCTCACCCTTCTTCTTCCACTCTCTTTCTCCCTCCTCCTCCTCCTCCTCCTCTCTTTTGGATCTGTCGTTCTCAGCTGTTGTCCAGGGAGCCAGGGCTCCGGGAATGTCACCATTGACGTCACCCGGCATTCCACACATTCCCACGCCCGACCTCGCGTAATAGGAGACATCATACGCGCACACACAAATTGCAGATACACACTCGTACGCCGAGAAGAACGCATGTAAAGGATAGAAAAAAAAAAATAAAGAGTACATGCAAACAGTCAGCTTACACCAGTGCAGCCTCAAAGTGTTTCTGTGACTCACCCACACTCGGAATAGGACTTATATATAGGAGCGGCTGGCTGTAAACTACTACACATATAGGAGTTAGTTGTCAACTCACGATTCAGCGTGATCTATTGTCTAAGGTTCAATGCATTTATACTCTTTATATTCCTTGTTATTGTTTAGAATAGGCAAGTTCAAGACGTCGTGCACAATACAAATCCTACAAATGTAAATAAAAAGTACAGAACGTCTTCATTTCTACAATTGAGATTAACGCGTCTTTAATGAGCGACGCGACCGAAAGAGCAGCTTGAAGGTCACACCACAACAAAGAGACCATCGAAGGGGCTGAACTCGGTCGGAGTAACTTTTTCCAAACACTTAATATCACCGTTATGTGATTTTTTTGTAGTAGAAGGACACGTTTCCTTCTCCTCACCGCTAGCGATAAGTGTCAACGATTTTCTCTCTCGTCCTCCAAATCAGTACTTGGGGGGGCGACCGATTATTGGATCTGATACTCGGCGTTATTCAACCAAATTAGCGGTATCTGATTCGGTTTAATCAGCTTAAGTTTCGAGATAAACGTCATTGAGATTTTCTGCCTCCAACAAATTGCGACGATTACAATAACAAATTACAAAATGTGAATGAAATCCTACTCTTTGTTCTTTAACCGGTGAAAAATTAGACGTAAAAAAAAAAACAAAAAACAGAAACTCTGATAATCTACAAACCAGTGTGTTGTTGTTTTGTAATTGAGTCCTGATAAGATAAATATAAAAAAAAAGTTCTCTTTATATTTAGCAACAAACAAAGACATTGGGAATTTGTTGAAGAGTCATTATAGAATTAAAATAACAGCAACGAACTCAGTCAACAGTGAGGTTTTGGATTATTTCAGCCTCTGATTTTCACAACTAACTTCACAGAATTAAGAACAAAAAAAAACTGCATTTCCGTCACATTTATTGTCTTTTGTGGAGGCAGAAATCTCAGTGATGTTTATCTCTAAACCTCAGCAGATTAAACCAAATTAGACACCGCTGAGAATATGTGATTATTGTAATTTTGGTGAATTCATTTTCTCCTCTCTCGTAGCAGGACAATGTTGTGCTTGTTGAGACCTCTGAGTTCACTGAAGAACCTATGGAGATGTTATGCTTCACGCGCGTTGTCACATTTTTGCGTCGGGATGCAGTTTTCCGCCATTTATCACTACATCCTGAATGTGCGCTTACTTTCCAGCAAGAATGCATCCGGGGCTGAGTTTTAAAATCTCCGTCGTGAACGTAGAAAGTCACAGAAATGCGTGAAGAATCTGCATCTGTGGATTCCAGCAAACCCAATACTTGTACAACATAGTGTAAACACACACACACACAAGGACGCCAGCACTGCAGGCTGTTGTCTGGGAGGGGATTTGTGTTGGCTGGAGGGCACCTGTAAAACATGTCAGTCGCACACACTCGCTTTCACTCCGTGTGTGGGTGTTTAACTCTAACAACTCGGGGTCAACACACAAATCAGCCAACCTCTACCTTTACCCACAAACACAAACACACAACGCAGATTCCCATCAGTCAGTGACGCAAGCGTGTCAGCGTTACGCAACAAACGCACACACGGAGGGTCCCGGGATTTCCCAGAAGCACCCGATGAAAGCAGCGTTCGCCAACGGGACGCAGGTGATTCGTCAGGTGACTGCTGGGAAACAGAGTCTTTCAACGTCTCCTTATCCTCCAGCGTCTTCCGTCCTTCATTATCTCCTCTCCTTCTTTCTCTTTTCATCGTTCACCTCCTTCCCCCCACATCCTTTTGAATCCCTGTTTTCGCATTCCTTCCCTCCTGTTTTTTCCTCTTTCCTTCTACTTTTTTTCTGTGTTTTGTATCTGCTTCCCATTTTATTTAAAACGTGGTCCTTTCTTCTTTGCCTCTTCCTCTCTTTTTCGGTCTCTACTCTTATTCTAACCTTATTTTTAATCCATCCCTTTACTTCCCACCTCTGATCTCTATCGCATGTCCTCCTTCTTTTCTAATTATTTTCTTCTCCGTCTCCTCTCTCTACCTGTATTCTGTCAGTTCTCTCCATTCCTAAACTCCTCCTCTCTTCACTACCGACTCCACACATCCCCACATCCTTTCGGTTCCTCCGTCGTCTCCTCCTTGCTTTCAACTATTCCCACTTCCTTGATTATGCTCGGGCATATTTCCTACTTCCTCTATCATCCTTGCATCCTTCTGTCCTTTATCTACCTTTTCCTCTCCTACCTTTCTCTCTTATCCTTTCTTCCTTCCCTACAGTAATCATTTTATCTTTCTTCCCTACCTTTCTACATCTATGTTGACCTTTCTTGTATCCATCCCTTCTTTCCTAACCCCATCACTTTGTTTTTTTTTTGTTCCCTGTCTCCTTTCTTCCTCAGCACACTGCTCTCTCCTTCCTCCCCTACCTTTCCCAAGTTCCTCCCTCCATCCTCTCACCTTTCCCTTCTTTTTACTTTCCATCCTCTTCCCTCCTTTCCTCCTTCCTAGCTACTTAACTCCTTGCCCACCTACTCTTTTCTTTCCACTTGCAGTGCTGGTAGAAGTTGGATGCTTTCACCTTCCTTTTTTTTTTTATTAGTTTTTCTTTTTGTTGATGGATTACGGATGATTTGTTTTAGTATTTAGGGGAAATGAAGTTAACTAGCTGAGCAGACACGTCAAATGAGCTTCCCTCCGTTCCGCTCTTAAACCTCCTCTGTGCTTTCTTTTCTTTCTTTGTCTGTATCCTCCCACTGAATGGTTTAGGGCCAGAATACATTTCTGATCTGCTGCTCTGTTAGGAACCATCCAGACATCTCAGATCATCTGTGACAGGTCTGCTTAATGTCCCAAAACTAAACATGGCGAAGCAGCAATTCGTTTTTTTTTTGTTTGTTTTTTTCGTTCGCCTCGTATCTGGAATAAAGTCTGAGAGGTCCGCACCAACATTTTTCTGCTTGATGCTGCCTTTAATTTACTTAATTTGGACAATTTATTCGTGCCTTGCACGGCACTAAAGCTGTGGCGCACATTTTATTTTCCGGTTTAATCAGTTTGATTTTGTTTTTTAGCCTTTTCTTTTTTTTTTATCTGATATTTCGTTTCGCTCTTTTTCAAACGTGTCTTAATAAATCTTCTTCTTATAATGCTTCATGTTTATTTCAGATCTTTGCTTTTTATGTCGTACATAAAGCAGTTTTCATTGCCTCAGTGTGTACAGGTGCTACACCGACAAACTTCTCCCAGCTCCTCTTTTTTTTTATTTACTCCTCCCTTTACTGCCACTGTGGTTGTTTTTTTTTTGCTCCTTCCCGCCTTTCTGGCCGTTCTACCTCCCATCGAGCTGATAACAGAGCTAGTGTTCACTTGTTGTTGTTGTTGTCAGGTTTATAGGCTCTGTGTGTGTATGTGTGTGTGTGTGTGTGCGTGTGTGTGTGTGTGTGTGTGTGTGTGAGACTGAGATGAAGCAGAGTCACATGCCGCTGTCGTCTGGAGGCGACGTCATGGAGAACTGCTATCTGCTATCACACACACACCCTCTCACTGCCTGTCTAAAGGGAATACAGCAATTGTGTGTGTGTGAGTGTGTGTGTCGGGGCTGGGAAAGTCCCTGCTGTCCCCCTTTTATAAACTCTGTGACTGAGTCTCTGTTTGAGTCGACTTGTCTTTCAACCTCAGCAGCACGGACAGGCTGCTGTCTGCTGGAATCTTGTTGTCATGACACCCAGATACCCCCCGATTCCTCGCATTTCTTCTTTTTTTTTTTTTTTCTCTAAACAACCTAATTGACAGTGAACAACCTCCACATGAAAACATCTTGCTGCTTATAGATCATATAGAAGTACACTATAGACTTTAATAGTTTTGCGACTAATAACCAGGTTAATGTTAAAGCACGCACACATTTGTTTCTTTACATAATGCATTTCTAAGCCCATTAGTTTAACCATCACTAACCCGAACTAAACCAAAAGCTAAGCTCTCAGTTTAGTCCCCCATGGTCGCACAGCGTCCTCATTGTCGGGTGTGCAGTCAGTTTAAAACCCCCACAGGTGTAGAAAATCAATACACCGACATGCTGTTCTGCAACTGAACTATGTCATGTGTCAGGTATGGCCGATTCTTTCAAAAAGGGGTGCGTTCGACAGATGCGTCCCTTCTGTAATGTGGCCTGTCACGTTGCTGGAATTCCCCCATCTAGGAAACAGATATGCTGTAGATAAAACAGTGAAAGTACTGTACGCTGCACAGAAAAGAGTTTTCAGCCACTTCAAGTCTGAGGATTTTTTTTTTTAAATTAGCATCTCCTAAAACCAAATGTGCCATTTTTTCCACTCTGTTCTTTTGTGTTTTCAAGATGCTCGTGTTTAGCAAATTCTTGAAAATAAATGGTTTGCATAGAAAATGTAGTTTTTTAAAATCAAAATGCTATAGAACAAGAAAGAAACATCAAATCTGAACAAGAAAGACGCTGCTCACTTAGATCTAATTCAGGTGTAGAAAAAAAAACAACCAACTGTTCTTTCTCTGAGGCTTTAAACTTTAATCTTGGGAAAGGCTCGACAAAAACAAACCTCAGAGTTTATAATGATATGCATCCACACGAGCACACATGGGAAATGCATCACACAAATGTGCAAATACATTTGAAGCTCCAACAATTGTCGTATTGTCATATACAGTGTATTTGAAGCCCAATCTAATAAACTGCACAGGATGAATTTTCATTGGTCCGCAGAAAGCAATTCTACCAGGGGCTCAATGACAGCGAGCGCAAAAGATGGAAAGAGTCCAGAGACATTTGTGTGTTTTTTGTTCTCACCGAACGGCGAGACGTGCGAAACAAAAAAGAAGAAAGGCGTACAGAGGAAGAGAAAACAGAAATAAAATAGTTCTGGAGAGAGCATGACACAGTTTTGATGTGAAGGAGCTGCAGAAAATCAGAATGCTGCCAAAAGACAGTGTTTGAGCTGCAGAAACAATGAGGGGAATGCGGCGCGACAAAGCGATCCAACTCGCTAATGAGAACGCACACAAACACGCGCAAAGAGTTCAATATACACGCACAGACAGTTCACAGGTAGACACACAAACTGAAAACATCAAAACGGACAAACGCACAACCTCCTCCTCCTCCCAGTCCTCTTCACTGAACCTCTCTCTCTCTCTCTCTCTGTTTGTGTCTCTGCAGCTAATGGCTACATCAGTGCCAGGGCCTCCCCGGGCCTCCTCTCCGTATCCAACGGCAACAGCCTGGGGAAAGTAGTCCTGGCTAAATCTCCAACTCCACCCAGCCCTCAGATGGTCAACAGCCGCAAGCCGGACCTGAGGGTCATCACTTCGCAGAGTGGCAAGAGCCTCATGCAGCTGGTGAGGAGAGCAGGACTGAGTGGAAACGGCACTTTAGTTGAACTCGAAATGAGTCGAATAAGTAGCGTCTTACAAATCACTGAGGCTTTAAAGGAAGCATTAGAAAGGACTCAGACGTAACGAGTATGTCTAATAACACAATGGGCCTCATGCAAGACGCACTCACATGAAGAGATTTTCATTAGCCGTTCAAGTGATCCACAGGTAGTCTGACTTTCCACCATAGACTGTATAAAAGCAACCGGCCCTGAAAAATGAAGCCAACCCGGAAGTGTCAAAAACCTACGTCCACTAGCTGCTGCCTCCAAAAAGCTCTGGCTCCCATAGACTGGAATTGGAAAAGAAGTGATCACAGATCACGAAATACTGCATTCCTACAGCTCAGGATTTTCTTCTTATTAGTTTTCATGGTCAAATCCAGAGATCAGGTGGCCAATCTGAAAATAAATCAATACTGAATTTTTAAAAAATCGTCAACATTTTGCGGGGCAAGGGGCGTGGCTGGCTTGATTGACAGTCGGCAGCGACGATGCAGACGAAGCGAGCAGAAGGCGGTAAATGTGGGCGGGGCAGAGAGGGCCCGCCTCTCAATCCGTCTGACCAATCGCTGCTCCTATGGCTCTGCCCCCCTCCCACGATTTTTGCGTCACTGGCTCCAAAAATCCAAGATGTCAACCAGGAAGTAGCAAAACACTGGCTTCATTTTCTCAGTGCAGAAACCAACGGGTGACGTCACGGTAGCTACGTCCATCTTTTATACAGTCTATGCTTTCCACAAGTGGGAAAAACAAACGGAGGGATTAAGAGTTTACTAAAATATATTCTAGCATGAAAACTATAGTCGGATCGTCTCAGCATCCAGTAGCTGTCTTCAGATCTTTGCTCAAGACTCTGTCCAGGGGGACGTCCTCTCAGCCTCCAGCAGCGTGCGTCATATCATGAAGATGTATTTCAATGAGCGCCCATTCCCCTGAACCGCTTCTCTTTTTAGCCAAGGACTACTGTTGCTTTAGCAAGATGTCTTTTGGTATCTACACTAAATCATTTTCTTTATTTGCCAGAGTACAACATCGTGAAGACAGCTGTAGTAGGACTGTAATTATTTGAAGCCTCTTAGTACGACTACCGGCATCGCTAAACTTGTGTAATGAGTTGTATATGTTTTTTTAATTCAGCTTAAATTTAAGGAGTTGGACAGGTCATTTTAAATGTCAATAAGGGGCATTAATTGTTCTAATAGTGTGCACACTCATCAGCAACTATTGATTAGGCTGAAAAAAGCACGGTGAGTTTGACTTTAAGCACCGGAAAGCGAAAATCTTCTTGCATGAGGCCCCTAAAAAAAGCTCCTGGATCTCTGCAGATCATCTACACCCGCTGCATCCATGTCCTCTTGTCCTTTTTCACTTTTATTGCCGGAAATAGAAATTAATTATATCCTGTCGAATCGCACATCTGTGTAAGCAACTCCAAATGTGCCTCTAGTTTACCAAATATTACATAATTTAAATTTCTCCTGCCAGAAACATGTAAGCACACAAAAAAAAAACCTCTCTGTCTATACATAGCAAAGTTAACTTGGCACTTAAAGTAGACGTCCCAGTCCAGATTGTATAGACAAACCTACAAGCAGACATCTTGGGGATATAAAAGAGCTTTTCATATCTTCTTTCTGCTCTGCAATTGAGCATCTGGATCCAGTCAGGTCTCCTTCAGTCAGACATCCATCAGTTTTGGCGCATTTTGACGTAACTGTTGAGGAGTGGAGGCCCCGTTGAGAGGACCATACATTTAATAGTTTCATTACTTTAGATAGAATTATTCTGGAAGTAATCCTCATTTTTTTTCTCTCTCTAGTTTTGTTCATATTTTGACGGCAGTTAGTTGTGACAGAAACTTAACCGTCCTCTGTTTTTTACTCCCCCCCTCCCCCTTCGCCCGGCCGTGCAGACAGAGGAGGAGCTGGAGTTGGTGAGTGAGGTGAATAGACTTCTAGAGATTTAGCATCATGGATGTGGTGTCAAAACTCTGTGTGACCTCACCAAGCATGAGTGTGACACAAATGCATCCCATCCGGGTCGACTGAGCCGCCCCGTTGCTTTCACGAGTGCAGAAGCAAAGCCGGTGGAGCGTCAGAGCTGCGTACAGACGGTGGACGAATCACCTGGTTGCATCTGTTCCTGCAAGATTTGAACACGAGTCTTCAGCGTTCACTACAGACTGGGCTCCACCGAGTCTGAGTGGAGCTGTAGTTTCAAAAATGACTCCTATTTGACTCCTAAAAACCTGTTTCATGAAGTCACAAGTCACAGGGCTTCTAGTTTCAGTGTATTTGGCAGATACTTTGTCTGAAGCGACTTACAAAAAGCAGACTACATTCAAACCAAAACTAGAAATGCATTGCTTTTAATTGAATGATTAAAAAAGATCTATAGCACAAGTAGTCTAAAAGAAAATGGATTTATTACGCTGAGTTTTAACAGGGGGAAAATAAATCATTATTTCAAGCATCTCCTCGACACGACAGACGTGCAGCTTAACTTGCAATTTACATTTGAAGACTTTCTTCTTAAGAAGACTTGGACATATGCTAATTTGCATTCTTGCCAAGAGTTCGATGGAAAGATTGATACCAGTCTCATGTATATGTGGATAAAGGCTAAGCGGCAGCCAAATACAGGCCAAGCTGTACAAAGGTAACAAAAACCTCCCAGAAAGAGTTTATCGTATTTGTTAATTGGTAGAAAAAACAATACACGTGAACAGTTTCAAAGACAAACTTGCCCCATAACATACTGGGTTACTAGTATGTCTGAGGTATTTTCTTGGCGAGTAGTTATCCATCTACTCAGTTCAATCTCTGCAAGACAGCAAATTGATCTCAAAGTTAAGGTTTAATTCAGACTTTACTTTAAAAAAAAAGACAGCTGAAAGTACCATAAAGTGATTTTATGTACAAGTAGGAAATGGACCGATCCTTACTTGACAATGCCAGTAACTTACTCTTCCAGCTGCTCACTTGACAACTGTAATCAAGTGATGTGATTGGCCTAAATGGCATTTCAATCAAATCTATCCATCTGAATCCCAATACTGTTACTTTCTGTAAATTCCAAAAATGAGAGGCTTAACAATATTAGTTTCCTTTTCACAGTTCTTGTGTCCTTCAAGCTAAATCTTATTAAATTTGAAATCGATTTTCCATTTTTGAATGCCGTATTACGAGAAAGTAAGGAGTAAAATTTTGTTGCATTTTGTGATCTCACGAGCAAATTGAATCAAAAACCCCCCCAAAAAAATATTTATGGTACAGTAGAGCCCAGTCTAAAGTGACATTTGTTCAACACAAATAGACTGTAGAGAAGAAATATTGAGGGAACCGGAGCAACCAGCTGACTCTCTGCTGTGTGTTAAAGCTGCTCAGCATGTGCATGTTTGGTTTCATCTGAGTGTCGACTCTCTGAGGATCAGCGAGGAAAGCTCACAAAGTCTCCAACCTGGAACGCAGATGGACATGTCAGACTCGGATACGCTGACCCCTTCAGTCCTCCGCACACATGCATGCTGACATGTTCATGCATATTTCTTTGCATAAATATACACTCACCTCGGAACAAACGCGCACCTCACATTGTGTATTCATTCCTCGCATACCTCCCTGCGCACAGACCTTTTTTCCAACACAAACACGTTCCTGCACACACACACACACACATGCACTCTTCGGCGCTCATCTCTTCCCCCCGTCAGCCTTGTCGATGCATGCGTTCCTGTCAGCATGACTCTCCGGCACAGCGATGCCTCTCATAACACCTTCCACCGCGACGCTACATAACACAAGCACCCGGCCCTGGCGACAGCGTTGCCTTGCCAATGCCACCTCGAGATGCGAGACTTTTCTCATCTTGCACGCCGATGTTAAAGTGTCACAGAAAAAGTTAAACACCTCGGAGAGAGCTGAGGTGCTTGGATAGGAGCAGCAACGCTTCTGGCTGTGGCGTGATGAATAAAACATCTTCCACTGGCCCGCGCACACAACATAAAGTGATCTGTTTGTCATATCATACTTTAGTTATCGGCTTTCAGTTAGATTTATTTGGTTTTTTTAATTTAATCTGCTAACAAAACTTTAAAAGTGGCAGGAAAACCAGGGCTGCAAGTTAGTCGCTGCACTTCTGCTTTGTAAACCAGAGGGTACAATTAAATCACAGATGCTTATTTATTTCAACTGGAAGTGGAACAAGCTGTGTTTATAGTGCAATATTTCAGTAGTAATTGAATTGTTTCTGGTCACATTGCAAGGTCTCTGCATCCACTCTGCTGTACAGTGGAAAAGCACATGCTAACCATTATCATTATTGCTGTTGAAAATGGATGAAGTCATGTGCCGTGAACTTCTACACTCAGTCCATATAAGGAGAAAAAAGACATGATTTGTTGTGGAACCGGACCAGGTTTTTCTCACGACGCAGAGCCACAACACTGGATACATGGATCCAGGGAAGAAAGGGTTTGGTCGTAAATCACACACGGACGTCGTGGCCAAAGAAGTTTCAAATCCTCTGCGTGTTTTCAGAGATTCCATCAAAACTTTCAGATGCAATTATGTTAGTGGCATACTGGCACAGGGAAAGATGCACGAATGAAGTACACTGTGCGCAGAGGAGATGCAGATAATTGTACCAGGCGTAAATCTTATAGTTAGATTGTACACGTTGAACGTATTCACTTCTTGCAACTTTTCTTTCGGTAGCTGACAACCCTCTGTAACTGCAGATCCCAGCTGTAGCAGTTAATCTCCTCTTCAGCTCCTGATGTTCAGCTTTCTCTGTCCGTCTCTCTGTCTTCCCAGAATGCTCAGCGGCTAGGTGGCTCCCAGGTGGCACAGCCGCTCACCACACCAGTGGTCTCCGTGGCAACACCCAGTCTCCTCGCGCCCTTCTCTGGCATGCAGACGGCCTACAACACTGGTAAGACATGGAAGGCGCCGCCGCCCCACGCAGCAAGACGAGGCGTTTTATCTGTCTGTTAGCATCAGGGCAGGAGAGACACTGCTGAATTAAAATAATAATAATAAAACAGAAAAAAGGTAAAACATAATGCCAAGTAAAAGATATGGTCTATATTATGTTATGAGAACTCTTGAGTGCCATGTAGAAAAACTTGAAAACCTTGCAGTGTGATGCCACAAACCACTATGAATATTCACTTTGTTCATTGTGTGAGAGCTTCTGGAATGATTCCACTTCAAAGGTCTCCATTAATATGGATTAGCCCTGATTAATATTGATGCGCCAGAAAGTTGTATGATGTAAAACAATCCCCCTCACCCCTCCTCTCCATCTTCTTTCTCTTTCTTTTCCCCTCTGCGTCTCTCCCCCCCATCCATCCCTTAATCCCAGAGTACCAGCTGACGAGTGCAGATCTCACAGCGCTCCAGACGTTCACACCACCAGGGCTGGTGCCTGGCAACATGGCTGCCTGGCAACAGCAACAGCAACCAGCAGTCTCCCAGCAACAACAACAACAACAGCAACAGCAGCAGCAGCAACAGCAGCTGAGCTTGGCGTCACTCAGTAACTTGGTGTAAGTTCCCTTTTCGTCCTTTAGCAAACCCAGAAATGAGATTGATTCACCAGTTTCCTCCTCTTTGACCCCTTCCCTCAAACAAGTCACGAGTAGACCTTTTACACCTTTCCCAGATTCAATCTTAACATGTGCTCATAGAACAGTTGAAGCACCTCTCCTGTACAAAGCTGTAGCATCACCCCAGCTGCGGTTGATTCATCTTTGTGGTGACCTAGATACTTCCTCCCCACCCTGCATCTTTTCCCCTCAGCTCCAAGTCCCACTGCAGTCCCACTCTGATTTAGCTCCTGGTAGCGAGGCTAGGCTGCTAGCTGTGTTATCTGGCACACCAGATTACAACTCTAAAAGCTACACTTCAATACTCCTTTTTTTTAGCCAGCCAAGAAATAACTGCATAATGTGATGTCAGTCTGTAGTTTACCCTCAAGGTCACACTCAGGACATTGGCAACTAGTCCCTTTGTTTCCCTTGTTCGCTTTGCCAGTTTTCTCTATTTTACCTTAAAGCCAAATTAATCTGACTCCTTCCAGAGTTTAACCACGTAATTGCACCTATGGCCCACTCACACAGTTGTGTTCAGTTATTTAGGCCTTTACTCCACTACTGCTCTCCTCAGGATTGCTCCGTGACGCCTCCATGACTTATCTCCCGGTAGTTTTGAAACAGAAGACTACTTTGTACTATTATAATTTGAATTTGGTTCTCATGTTTTAAAGGTCAAGTCACAGAAGTGCGAAAGCGTACAACATGTACAGGTCGAAGTCTGAGAGCTGAGAATAAATACTTCATAGCAAAGACTCTTGACTTAATTGCATTGCATGGTCAAACTTAGTTTCTAAGATATGCTGCTGGAAAATTCCCAGTGCAGCTTTTCTTCAGCTAAAAATGAAAACAGCTCCTTAGAAAGTCACATTAAAGTAACTAAATCACCTTTGTTAACGCTGCTACTAAGGTGGGTCCATGAACTGAATATAAATGATGGATGCAGCCACTTCTTTTGTAAACTACAGTTTGGAATTTGATCCTTTCAAACCAGACATGGTGAGCGAGGGGCGGAGCTCACTGATAGCTCTTTGACACTTTATCGTCTATTTTACTCCCACTTCAACCGTAATTTACAAACTGAACATTAAGTTGTTCTGAAGGAGACTTCTCACTACAGACTGACACCATAAACTCATTAGAAAAATGTCAACTAAGGGAACAAATCAAGTGAGAAATCGAGTCATTGTCTCCTATACAATTGGGCTCCTTTATGCAACCAGTGGAGTCGACCCCTGCTGGCCGTTAGAAAGAATGCAGCTTTAAGTCACTTCTGCTTTGGCTTCACCTTTCAAACATGGAAGCTACGTCCATCTTTTAAATACTGTTTTTGAGTGGGTCATTCATTTTAGCCAAGTTTGCACGCCACAGAGCTAAATACTGATGACTACAACTCCAGTAACACATTTATCATTGTTTTGTGTTTACTTCAGGGTTTTAGTCCTTGTCATGAGGTGTTTACATTATTTTGTACTCATTACAGGTAGACGGGAGGCTAAGTAAAAAATGTGCATTTTACAAATTCATTGCCAAACAACTATAGTATGAGCTATCTTAATCAGACACAATTCTGTCGTACAAATTGAGCTGGTAGTGCTAAGTCTTTGTGTGTCCAGTCTGGCTGTGCTAGGCTAACCTGTGGATGGGGGAGCAGCTTGTAACTGCCTCTTGTTTTGTCCTCCCTCCCCCCTTTTCTCCACAGCATGTGGGGTGCAGAGAAACAGAATGCGGAGATGGTTAACTGCATCTCCAATTTTGCTGCTAACCTGAGGTGAATGACATGATAGCATCTAGTGCCGTGCAGCTCTGCCATGCCATTTATCTGTCAAGTCATTATACACTCCTCACACACCCAGTTATGAGTGTATAATAACGTGGCAGCGTGTGATCAAAAGACTTCAAAGAAATTTACACAATAGATCCAATTACATGACAAATATGATGTCCAGCCATCTTCTCTTTTCATTTACATGTTGGATGTGATTCCCGTTGCTTTGCTGTGTCTGCTCTTCATTGCTCTTTCAGTTCCGTTGAAGCTAAAGCACTTTGTTCCTTCCCAGATTATCGGTTTACCGGTGTGATTCTAAGAGTTCTTACGCCACTGAAAGCTCAGATCTGAAGCTCTTTGGAAGTGTCAGGCACAAAGAGGACGAAGCTTCAGCGTGACAGCCGCAGCACCTTGCTAGGTTCTGAAAATGAAAGGAATCTCTGGGTGCTGCTTTCAGTCCCCAACACTGAACCAGCGCACAGCTGTGTGCCACCGACACGCTTACCGCATTAAAATTTTATCTTTCAGCCATTTAGCTGTCACTCTCAGCTGACAGTCAGACACAAGATTCAATTCCTCAGATACATGTAGGCCATAAATTCCTACAGTCACATGACTAAGAGAATAATTTAGATGTAGCTGAGCTGTCAAAGTCAGTTACATACAAGCAGATACAAAACATTTATTGATTTGCAGTTTGTTTTTGGATTGAATCAATGAACCTCTAACATCTTAATGCTTTTATCTTTTTGCTGGTTACAACCATCGCAGCTACAAATGCATCTCAGCTTTAAGTTCATTTGAGAGATTGCACAGAGATTTAAAAATACCAGAAATGTGTGAAAAAAGACCCTTAATAAGTGTATCTGTCAGCAGAGAGACCGTTGTTTGTTCTTCTGTCTGACAAGCTGAAAACTGTCCATGAAAATATGATAATAGGTTGTTTGTTATTGTATACAACAGCTGGGACTCCAGGGGGTTGAGCATCTTTGAAAAAGCAGCATATAGTTAACAGTCACCACCAGCTCATACGCAGCAGAACTCTTCATATCGCCTTGTAAATGTTAACAAATGGCAGTCCAGATTGTATGAAATCCTTCTGCAAACAGATCTGTTATACCGCTCAGAGATTCTGAAGAAGCAGCCAGCAGTCATTTCCCTGATTTTTTAGCTGTAACGTTCCAACAACTGTTTCTCACTGAGGGAAATGCAGACATCGTTTATTATATCACGATTATCCTTAACCTAGGTTTGCTACTGCTGTACGGCTGCAGCTCTTAACCTCAGAAATAGTGCAAAGTCACACGTTTCCAGAACCAAAAGTGGTGTTGTTAAATTAGTTCTTCTGTAAAGAGCCACATTTTTTTTAAATCTCACTGTTCATCTGTGTTTAATTCGATCCTGAAAAACATTGTGAAGGTCCTAGTTGTAAATAATACAAGATGTCCTGCACATTACTTGGACTTCTATTTGATCCATAATCATGCAGGGCAGATTTTGATGGTGACAAAGTTTCAGCACCCTCATGTTTGACACCAGAATCGCCACCAGGCAGGTTTGCTGTGTTGTGTGTGGGATCAGAAAAACAGAATCGCTGTCACCGAAAACAAGCGAGCACCACAGAAATGTGGGAAGCTTTCCCAGCACACCAAACTGTTCTCTCGGCACGACGGAAAATCGTGCTGTCCTAGGACAGCATGGGCAGACGTGGGCACTTCTGCAGCCCAGACTGCTCCGCTTTGTTTTTGATTTCATCGCAGCGCGGCCTCACAGCATGCAAGCAAGCCCTTCCAATCAAATAGTGATTGACGGCTTGGCTGCGAGCCTCGCCTTCGCTGTCGTCCACACTTTTCCTCGCCGCAGGCTCCGCAAGGAAATGATTTCTGTCATCTTACTCTCTCCCATCCCCCCTTTTTAATCATCCCTTCTTCCACTACTGCCGTCCTTCCTCTTATTTCCTGATCTTTTTGTCAAGCTCGGTTAATTTGGTGTACACCTGTTGACTCTCATCTTCCCCCTGACTCCCCAATCTAAATGTTAATGTCACGGCTGCCCCCTGAACCTCCTCTCCGCAGAGCCTCGCTTCCAGCTTGTTTGTGTGTTTATATAGAAGGGCTCTCCGGATAACCGGTTGTTGCAGGACGTGTTGTCATTGTTTGTTTTCTTGCTGAGTCGATGTGTTATCAGCAGACAGGGCCTCCATTTGGGACACTTTAGCAGGAAATGAACAGAATCACTTTTAGCTAATGTTTGCTTGTGTAAGTGTTGTTTTGTCCACTCAATCCGTCCACATCGGTGCAAGTCTTTCAGTGTTGGGCTTACAGAATGGATAAAATGCTGTGTTAGTGACAAACATCTGTAGCGGCTTGTGCTTGTCTCACTTTGTCCTTGTTTTTCATCCCGAAAACACACTTTCTTTCTCTGTCTGACTCCACCTACCCTCTCCCACACAGCTTTCTCTCAGCTGTGGTTTAAGAGGAAAACATTTGCAGACAGGGCACACGTTGCTAAATTGCTTACAGGACACACTTGTTTGTTGGCAGGGCACAATGCACACATGCTATCAGAGGCTGATCAGTAAAACCTCCCAGGTGGAATCAGTGTTTTCCCAGACTACAGATTAGAAACTATAGCGGCTTCATTATACTTCCTTCTACCTGTAAGATAAAAAAAAAAATGCAATTTATGTGTTATGGAGTCCCAAGTGTGTAGCCTGTTTGTTTATGCATCACTGTGATATAAGATGGTCCCAGGTTAGTTTATTAAGAGGCATAAAACGGCTTAACAGGCAGCTATTAGGCGCTCAGAAATCTCTGCTTACCAGTAGAGGCTGATTTGTGCCAAAAGCCAACTATTTCAAGTGTATTGGAAGTGACTGTATAAAAATGCCATGCATGTGAATGACTATGAAATTTCTGTCTGCACCAGCTTTAACACTTCCTGCCACGCACAACCGCCTCCAACAACATTGCAGCGTGACCGAAGCAGCTGTTGAGCCTTTTGTGTTTTTGTAGTAACCATGTCTGGATTGACCACGACTGGCCTCCGTCCCACTGTTTCCCTGCTGTTTTAGCTTTTTTAAACTTGCTTGTCTCTTCTTTTTTTTTTCTCCCCCCCAACTCCCTCCACAGCTTGGCTTCTCAGTCCAACTTGCTCTTTGGCAGGGAGGAGGGCCTCTGCTGGTACTGTACTCTTTACACTTCAGCCACACAGCTACAGCACGCTGCTTTCCCAAAAACATCTGCTGCACTGAGGAAAATCAGTTCTGAAAAGTTGCTACTGACGTGAAGTCGTTTTGATCTTGTTAAGGAATAAATAAGCGCGAATGATCCCTACGTGGCAGTTAAGCCAAAACAGCACTGATTGGTTATAAGCAATTCAATTTTAATCACACAAATTGAACGAATATAAACTATTTTATGGCTGAAAGTAAAAATGTACCACAACATTAAGCAGCTAAATAATGCTGTCTAGCCTTTCCTTTTTTAACTCTTCATCACCCAACCCTCCTTCTGTCTTCAATAGTTTTGATTTAAGTTGTCCAAAAACACAAGTCAATACATTTAAGGTGCATTTAAAATCATTGAACTTTTCATCGTGCAAATCACCTCTCTCTCTCTCTGGAAACATGAGCTGCTAGATTCTACTATGTGTGGATGTAAGTTCCCGCTGATTGAGCTTCTTTAAAAGTGAGCTCCAGATTGACAGATTTAGTGTGCGGGACTTTAAAATACCTATATGTACGTCGGTTACTTCAAAACAAATTCGCACAATGACAATAAGCTTATTTAGTGCTAGATAAATCTCTCTAGTTCATTCCCATGCTGGTGCACTGGGAGTCAATTGTTTACCTAGCAGTGATTAGTTTGCCATGATTGAAGATCAGGACTGGGCTATAACACCAACCAAAGAAAGGGTCCAAGAAACATTTCTAATGCTCTGGACAAAAAAAAAAGAAGAAACTCTCAGAGGAAGGATTACAGTCTAACGAAGGAAGTGATCAATAACAACAAGCACACTTAATTAGTGTTATTACTTTTGCTGCCAGATGGGGGCGACAGAAGTTCCCCACTGCAGAGCGAATCAACACCAAAGCAGCACAGGAGGATCCTTTAAAAGATTCCTTTATTTATCTCCTCTGTACTCAGTTGAAAGCACAGGCGTTCTGTTAAGCTAAAAGAACACTGATGACATGCCTCTTAATTACACTCCAGTGCACTTTAGCAGCTGTAAACACTTGTGGACATATAGTGGTTGTCACTACTTTTATAGTTTGCTTGGAAGAATTCATTTACTTTCTACTGCTGAGCATGTATTGCTCCTTTAACGCAGTCGCCACCAGGGCACGAGTTCTGTACCACATGCAGACTCTTGCAAACTAGCGGTTTGTGTTGAAACAGCTCTCCAAGAATACCACAAGACATTTTCACACAATAAGTAAGACTTGAAAGCTGATCTTAATCTGTAACACTGATGAAACCCCCGCCCCCCTTAAAATGTCTAACAATACAAAAACTAAATCTAAGTAAACAATTGCAAACAGCACTAACAGTCAGTTGCCACACCTAGGAAACTGTGAATTATAGCACGTTGTTGTGGGAATGACAACTGTCAGCAAAACGATCCGATCGGAATTTAATTGGAGACGAGTTATTTCTGTTGATCCTCAGAAAAGCAGAGCGTTTTTTTTATTTTTTATTTTTTTGGGGAAACAACGGCTGCAGCTCACCGCGCCCGCACTGTAACCGAGTGTCTGCTTCTGGCTGTGCTCGCTGTGTTGTTAGTGCTCGGGGGGGTAGCCTGCCGCTCTCGCCTTCATCACTGTCACTGGCCCGCTGACTCGGCCGTTTTCACTCGCCATAGCAACCGCACCCCCGTGGCACCGCCATCCATCTACCTGCGCCCGCCCGAGCCACGACGTGCAGGTTTGATGAAGTGGGTACGGCGAGAGACGGAGTGAGCTTCGCCGCCACCGAGGGGATTTATGCGTGCATGTGTGTGTGAGGAAAGGGAGAGAGTGCAAGAGGGAAGGAGCATTTGTATGTAAGGCGGCGAGAGAGCACAACTTTAACTCTGTGTGTGTGTGTGTGTGTGTTCGTGTGTGTTCGTGTGTGTGTGTGTGTGTCAGATGGAGGAAGACAGTGAGCACATTTGAGTACCGCAGACCCAGATCGCCTGGAGGAGTGCTATCTTAAATTCCCCTCTCAGTCTGCCAGTAATTGAGGGAATATTAGAGATACAGTGCTGCAGATGGCTCATGATATGACATATTAGAACACACCCGAGGGGCGAAAACGCAGTAATTGGGAGCTTCAAATTCAGATCTTCGTGTCAAGCTGTGGTAGAGGGTGAGTTAGAGCGAGCCCAATCCGAAAAATCATGTCGACGCCGTCAAAGGAGCGAGCCACAGTGCAGCGTCAACAGTCGGTGTCAGCCTCAGTGACAGGTTCGACTCAGCCTCCAGCCAGCGGAGGAGGAGGAGGTGAAGCCTGAGCGTGAGGGCGGAGGGGCTGATCAAAGAGTTGTCGCAGGTAGAAGCGCAGACGGTGGCGTACACGAAAGCTTTTTGGCACATGGTTTTTTTTTGTCCTGAGCGTCTTAAGAGGCTCGTGCGTGGAAACTATCTTTAGAGCGGCTCAATCAAATGTTATTGTGTTCCCCTTCAGGCCACCATCCTATTTTCTAAACTTGTGAACATTTTAAATGGGTGTTGTGCGTCTTGTCATAATCAGGAAAAAGTTGGTTTGAAATATATTCATTGAGACAGCAGCAGAGAGGAGAGTGTGCTGATTAGCCTTCATTAATGTAAAGTCGGTGTGTGTGTGTGCTCAGAATGCATTCAGGTACAGTACTGGGTGTGAGGCAGCTTTCAGAGCCCAACACACCATCACTTTATATGTAAAACAGTCCAAAATAGACTTGAAGCATTCTGTTCAACTGTAGATTAGTGCAAAAACAAACTCCGCATTCATTTATTAATTCTGTGGTCGCCCTTTCACCAGCGATAAAACCACACAGTCAGCCGGCTGGAATGTTGTTGCCACCCGATGTGACGTCCAATCAAATCCACGAAATCATGCATATCCTGATAAATTAATAGGCCCACATCTATTGTTTGCCATTATGACAGGATTTTATTTATTTATTTTTTGCTTTGACAACTTTTCATTGCTGTGAAATCTTTTTTGTCGGTGATCAAAAAGTCCTGAGAACGTTTGTGCATGAAGTCTGTCACCTAAGTCGCTGTCATAGGTCAGGAAACCGTGCGACATTGACAGGAGCATCTGGGTTATACTCAGTTTTTGTGGTCGCTGGTTGGTTGCCATTTGCAATTTCTTCATGAACTTGAGCACAAAGGAAAGCAGCGTAGTTTGTGACAGTCAGCCAGCAGCCAGGATGAGCCGACATCACGCTGAGCGCTATCATTGGTGACTTGAGGTCAGACTTCCATTGAGAGAAGAAACGGCAGTTTTTAAAAGTGAAAAACACCGTGCTCACGTGGTTGTTAATTAACCCACAGCATCTACTGTAACGCCCTGAGGTGTCTGAGGCACAACGTTGTGGCACAGGAGTTCTTCAGTGTGTTGTGTAGCTGCTCACAGCCCAGTGATCACACTTCTTTATAACATTCTAGAC